TCCTCACTCGGACTGGCAGGCCTCGCGGTTCCGCCCGGATCCCGCCTGCATGGCCGCCGCTTCCCGGTCCTGCGTGCTACCCCTCAGCCCTGATCTCTCGGCTCGCACTCACCGGGCTCCGGCCACCGCTATCCTTCACGTGCGACTTTGCTAAAACGCGCCACCAAAACCGCGCCTCAACTCCCGGGCGGTGGTTTATCGTCTGCGCATGCGCAGGGCGGGAGGCGTCCGGAGACGAGGCCCGCCGCGCTCGCTGCCGGAGCGGGCGCCTTGAGCGCATGCGCCCTACCTGCAGCGTTCTTATCCCACCTCCCCCCGCACCCGCCCGCCAAGCCTTCCCACCTAGAGAAGAATGGGATCGGATGTTGGATGTGGGAACGGAAGTCTCAGGCAGGAAAGGGGAAATAAGTGACTCTACGTGGGCTGCGGAGTGGGTTTTGGAAGTGAAGTGCAAGCTGATCCTCCTCGGCAGCTGCTCGGCCTTAACTTGGGCTACAAATGCCCCCTCCTGGGCCTTTGTGGGAAATGTAGTCCGAACGCGGGAGCCTGGTCTTTTGAGAAACTTTCCGCGCTAAAAAGACACAAAGGGAAGGTGTTAGAGGACAGGTTAGAGGCACAAACGCTGGGGAGTCGCATCCGCTCTACCAAGAGAGCAGATCTACACCGCAGATGTGCAGATGGCTCCCAACTGTTTGCTTAGAATTTTAGAGAAGAGAATCCAAGCCCCACACCCCATTTCTACCACAGAGGCAGCATTTGAGGGGGATGACCCAGAGATGGAGACAGGTGACCCCTTGCTTGCTTTGAGATACTGGTCAGGTCGCTTCCTTTCTCTGGGCCTCCGTTGGTTGACTTTAAAGAACTTTAAGGTCTTAAAAAAACACCAAAGTAGGTATACAGTTTCAGTGAAGTTAACACAATGAGCATTTCCCAGATTGTCAGAATGTTTCCTAGAACCATCACCGGCTGCCCTAGAATAGCTCCTTTTTGATGTTAAAACCCGTTTCTCTAACTTTTCCTTCCTCCGAGCCCTTGAATCACCTCCCAATTCTGTTTTCTCCCCAGACTACACACTCAGTGGCTCCTAACCTGGCACCAGTCATTTCTTTCCTTCAGATGTTTCGCAAACTCATCCATCTTCGTCTGAGCCCTGATTACTTCCTGCCTCTCAGCTAAGAATCTTCCCCAAACGCTCTGCTAGAATTCTGAACCTCACCCTTCAACTTCCTAACAGTCTAGACTTCATAGTTGCTTGCGAGATGGGTTTTGATTCCAATTTCTGGTTGCATCCGAGTGGTAGAAAATATATCCAGCATTTCAAGGTTCTCTCCACCCTTGATCTTGAGGTTTTATACACCTTTTGGGCTGCTAAGTCTTTTTATTTATTTATTTTTGATACTTTGGGTGCTTTACCACTGAGCCTTTAACAGATAGAGAGAAGTTCATCTAATCCTCAGTTTCTGTATTTTATTTTATTTTTCAATGTCTGTATTTTAGTTGGCAACGTTTTTTGAAATACTTTTTTAATTGTAGATGGACCCAATACCTTTTTTATTTGTTTTTAAGTGTTGCTGAGGATCGAACCCAGTGCTTCACACATGCTAGGCAAGTGCTCTACTACTGAGCTACAACCCCAGCCCAAGTTGGCAACTTTTGAGAATCTCACTATCCTGTCTAATCCTTTGTCACTCATCCATATAGGTGCCCACTGAATCTTCCTGGGCAATAGAGCCTCTTCTGGGTTTTTGGCCAGTGTGTCCCCATATTTCTGAAGCAGCAACCACAGCCTTGGCCTGGAGGAGGAAAGCATAGAGCTCCTTTCTCAGGGACCCGCTAATACCTACGCACATGTATTTCTCCTCTCAAAGCTCCTTGTGGACTCCACAGTCAGCTACCCGTGTTGGGACTCAGAAAAATGCCATCTCAGGCTGGGGATGTAGCTTAGTTATAGAATGATTGCCTAGCATGAAAGAGATCCTAGATTCAATTCCTGGTACTACGAGAGAGAGAGAGAGAGAGAGGGAGAGAGAGAGAGAGAGAGAGAGAAAGAAAGAAAGAAGGGGGGCAGGAAATAGAAAGTCCAAAGATCCATTTTCAGAATATAGAATTTGTAAGCAAAAATAACCAAAAGGGCCAGGCACGGTGGTGCACACCTGTAATCGCAGCGGCTCAGGAGGCTGAGATAGGAGGATCATGAATTCAAAGCCAGCCTCAGCAAAAAACGGGGCACTAAACAACTCAGTGAGACCCTGTCTCTAAATAAAATACAAAAAAATAGGGCTGGGGATGTGGCTCAGTGGTCAAGTGCCCCTGAGTTCAATCCCTGGTACTAAAAAAATAAATAAATAAAAATAACCAAGAAAGGAGCAGACCTCAAAAGATCATCAAGCTGTCTTTATTAAGCAGTGGAGAATGGCACATTTTCAGGGGAGAAAATGGCAACTGGTTGCAAGAGGGGTCTGTTTTCTATAGGTTTGAATAAGAGATAATCATAGCAGATTGTTTACTGTGACTTAATCATTAGAGACTTGGGCAGTCAGGGAACTAGTTGTATAGGTTCAAAGTCTAAATCAGGAAAAGAGTTGCAAAAGTTTGAAACCCATTGTTACTGGGATGGAAGTCCAGAGCCAAGAGCCCATTGTTTGCCTTCTTTCTCCCTAGGGTTTGTTATTCCATATCCTTCAGAATGTAGCTATAATCGGGGTGTAAGATCCAATCATAGCCATTTAAAGTACAGCCCTTTCCTTTGCCCTCCCCAGTTTTAAAATTAACCAATTGCATAGATTGTAACCCCAAACTCCTCCTGTCAGAGCAAGGGGTAGTGCTGAGTTAGGGATCAAAACAGGTGAACGGCCCACCTCAGTATGTTTGCTTGCCAGACTTTGGTAGCACACCCTTCTAAAGAGGTAAAGTTTGCCTTGCCAAGTAACTTTTGAGCCCATGCCTGATTTCTTGCAGCACTCTGATATTTCTAACAAAAGGAAAGAAAAACACCCCCAAGTATGGACTTTGGCAAGCTGGGTGCTCTAAATTAAAGATGATTAGAAGACCTCAAGGCAGCCTCAGAGCCCAGGTCTCACTGACCTTCTCCAGGCCCTCCCGTCTCTCGCCCCTTCTCCCTGCCGCCGCCACCAAAAGCAGGAAGGGGCTTTCTCCGAAGTTCCCTTTTCTGTCTAAAGATAGACCCTCCAAAAGGAACTAAGTTGTCATGAGTCCCCTGCTGGGCATCACATCAACCATGGAAGATCAACTCATAGGGAAGGAGGCAGACTTTGTTTTAGACTATTACTTGTTCTTCTGAGGACTGCCCTGAGACAGCCAAAACAACACTCTACCATGTGATTCCTCCCCAACCCTCTCACCTCTCATGACCACCTTCCCCCTCAGTCCTAAGCCCCTATCCCTTTAGCTCAGGTTGCTATAAAAGCTTCAGCCATCTGGCCCTTTTGGAATCAGAGTCTTGTATTTTGTGGGACTCCAGTGCATATGTATCTAATTAAAAAGGCTTTTCTTCTACAATTTTGTCTACTATCAGTTTATTTTGTAATTCAATTATCAGACTTCGGAGGAATAGAGAAAGTTTTTTTTTCCCTCTCTTTTTTATACCCAAATCCTTTCTATTCAAAGACTGACTGGCCTTTGAAACTGAAAGGCCTTGAAAGGGGCTCCCTTTACCCTATTCACTGTCACAGCCATAAGTTTCCCAGACTAGGGACACCTCTGGTTTTGCTCAAGTACAGGGTCTGCCTGGCACACAGTGCCAATAATTAATTACTGAGTATCTTAATCTATTTTATCTTCCTTCTTCCTTCCACCCATCTTTCCTTCCTTCCTTTCCTCCCATGTCCTGGACAATTGATTGAACCTAGGGCTTTGCAAATGCTACTCAAGTACTCTTCCATTAAGTTAAATTCCCAGCCCTTTTTGTTTTATTCTGAGACAGAGTATCCCTAAATTGCCCAGCCTGGCCTTGAACTTGCAATCCTCCCCCCTCAGCCTCCACAGAGGCTGTGATAACAGGTATGGGCTATCATGCCCAATTTCTTCCTTTGTCTTCTATTGCTGAATACAGGGTAATTTATAGAGAAGAAGTTTACTTAGCTCACAGTTCTGGAGATTGGGAAGTCCAAGAACATGGCTTTGGTGTCTGGCAAGGGCAACCTCATAACATAGCAGAAGGCATCATATGACAAGAGAGAACAAATGTGCCAGAGAAAGGGAGCTTTTATAACAAAATAATTCCCTCCATAACCCATTAACCCACTAACCCACTGATCCTGAGGACAGTGTTCTCATGACCCTATCACCTCCCAGTGGTCCCACCCCTCACCACTGTTGCACTGAGGACCAAGTTTGCAACACACTGAGGAAATTTCTAGAAATGTAGAAATGTGTTTATCATCCCCTAGCTCAAATGCTATTCTGTTGCCAGGTCATTCAAGTGTAACCACCTCAGGTTCAAGGTCCCGTCTGAACAGATTCATTTTATTTTCCACCACACATCAAATACTTGAGGTGTCTGGCCTGTCAGGCAGCCTGTCACTCAACCCACAAGAGTTAGAAGTTCCTGCTCTGTGCCAGGTTCTGTGTGATACTACTGGACTCTGAGAGCAAGAGTAACAGAACAACTGTGGTTTCTGAATAATGAAATTCACAATCTAGCAGAGAACTCAGATACCAAACAGTTACTTGTAAGTAAATAATTAAACAACAACAGCTATTTATAGTGGCTTGGAGAAGAATGACAGGGTGCTGTGGAGATTAAACCGAAGAGTCTGAGACTAAAACCTCAGCTCATTCAAGAAAGGGACTGCAGGAGAAGTGACACCTAAGGTGGAACTGAAGTTAACATTAGAGGGGTTGGCCGGGGAGGGTGATGAAGGTGTACCTGCGAGAGCAGGCGTGCTCGAGGAATTGAAAAGCCAGAGTGAGCCGGGCATGGTGGCAAATGCTTGTAATCTCAGCAGCTTGGAATCCTGAGGCAGGAGGCTTGCAAGTTCAAGGCCAGCTTGGGCAACTTAATGGGACCCTGTCTTGAAATAAAAAGGAAAAAATAAATATGGCTGGGAATGTAGCTCAGGAGTGAGCACCCCTGGGTTCAGTCCCAATACTGGGGCTGAAGAGAAGATGAGGTGAGGCTGAAGGGCTGGCATGAGCCTGGTAGTACAAGACCTTGGGCAAATTTCCTCTGTCAGAAGCACTTCCCCTTATTTGTGGTCTCAAGACTCTTTCCCCTCATTTAGATATCATCAAAATGTCACCTCCTCAGAGACAGACCCCCTGAATATGATGCCTACAGTAGCCATCCCTCTAACCCTCAGTACCTCCTACCTACCCTACTCTGATTTCTCTTATATTCATAGCACTTACCACCTTCTGGAATTTTTTTTGGAGGGGTGGTACTGGGAATTGAACCCAGGGGTACTTAACCACCACATTCCCAGCCCTTTTTATTTTTTATTTTGAGATAGGGTCTGGCTAAGTTGCCTAAGGCCTTGCTAAGTTGCTGAGGCTGGCCCAGAACTTGTGATCCTCCTGCCTCAGACTCCTGAGTTGCTGGGGTTGCAGGTGTGCACCGCCACACCCGGCTCATACATCTTTTGTATCTCTAGTTATCAGAACAGAGACTGGTATACAGGAAGCACCCAATCAATATTGAATGAATGCATGACAAGCCTGGGGAAGAGTGTGAATAGATTTTTCATTGAAAGCAGATCCCTGACTCTTCTATGGATAGTGGACCAGAGCCAGGCCAGGCTGGAAATAGGATCCATTAGGATGCTATTTTATTGGTGCAGGGGAGAGATGCGCTTTTGTGCATATTAACTCTTCATAATAGTTCTACAAATCAAACAACAAAACCACAGCAATTCAGTTTAAAGGTGTTAGTTGACTTTTGCTCTTCTAGAATCAGGTGACACTTCATTCCATAAAACAGAATAAGTGCTCTGTTGGGCTGAGCACAGGAGGCAAGTTTTATAGACAGAAAAGGACTGAAGAAAGCAAAAGCAAACCAAAATGTGGATGGATCATCTGCTTTTCTTTCAGGCTGGGACAGAGAGACAGAACAATAATGATAACTGATTGGTTAACATCAGATTGCTTCAGGTCACTTTTTGTAAGGATTAAAGCAGATTGAACTCCATTATCCTGTAGGATGAAACTGTTCTGTTTAGGAAACTTAGCTATTTTCTCTTTGAATTTCTTGGAAGATCAGATAATAATTTAGCTTTGGTTTGGTGACACGGAATCTCAGCATGAGTGACTCCATTTTGAATTTTATTCTGGTGTGCTGGGACATAGGAGTTAATCCAAAGCAATGGCCTCCTGTGATTTTATTTAACATACCCTTGTGTCAATTCCCCTATTTTGCAGGTGAGAAAAGCAAGGCATAGAGAAGTTCATACAGCTAATTATCTGTGTGGAGCGGGGGTTTTGGCACACTTCCTGACTTCAGAGTCCCTGGTCTTGGCCCCTGTGCCACACTGCCCTTCATACCTGGAACATCTGTTCTTCTCTTCCAGTCTTTGCTTATGCTATTCCTCCTCCTGGAATTCTCTTTATTATCCTCCTTTTTTATCTGAATATAACCCATCTGTTGAATTTTGGCCCATTCACATATCTTCAGTGAAGAACACTTCACTGACCACACCTCTCCATCCTGCTATTTTGTTTGGATATCTTATAGGCCACAACAATGCTCTCCATGTGATTCCTGAGAATGAATAAAAAACATGAATGAATGAAAAAAAAATATGTGTGTGTGTGTGTGTGTGTGTATGTGTGTGTGTGAGAGAGAGAGAGAGAGAGTGTGTTGTTAGGTGCAGGACAGGCTGAGTAAGCTGTCTGCAGGGCATGCCAAACAAAGTTAGCTGCAGGATGACCTGGCCTCTCAAACCCTCTGTCTGGTTCTTTATCTCCTGTTTGTTTCAAGCCCAAACGCCCAAGCCCCCGCTCAAGACTGAACACTCAACCCGCTGCTCAAAGCCGAGCACTTAACCCCCTTGTGTGCCAATAAGGCAGCTTGCAAACCCAGAGACCCCATTAGATTTGGGCTATAAAAACTCCCTCCTGCCAGGCCCCCTTCTCTCTTGCCCTCTCTGTCTCTCTTGAGCTCTCTCTCTCTCTCTCCTTCTCTTTCTCTCTTTTCTCCTCTGTTGCACTGCTGCAATAAAGATCTCTTGGTCGCTCCAAATGTTGTGGTCACTTTCCTTTCATTGGTGCCGAAAACCCGGGAGAGGGTTAAACCCCACTTTGGGTCCCTCTTCCTTCAGAAGTGCCACTCACCGACGGCCTGAACCCATTTTCTCGACCGACCGCCAGAACTCCATCCACCACCGGCCTTCGATTGGTGAGTTTCCCCTTCCTGGAGTCCTAAACCCAATGGTGGTGTCAGGAGGATTGACCGTTGATTGTCCGGCAAACCTCTTTGCCCACCTGCGGGGAGGAAAGCACCCACCACAGCCTTCAAGGCCACGGTGGTCCTCAGGGACTCCTTCCTCGGGCAGAATAGACTCTTGGGTTCAAAATTATTCCCTTCCCTTCCCAGCTGGTAGTTTCCCAGCATAGGCTTTGTAGGTCTTCCTCGAAGGACTCTGTAACCTCCAGGGACACATAACAGACACTGAACATCACCCCACCAGAGCTTCACGGTCTTGGTGGCTCTCATTAAGTCCTAGTCCTCACACCTTCAAGACTCGGCCACCAGAGAGACGCTTACCCTCCCCTTCCTCTCTCTTCCCCTGCCTCTCTCTTTCCCCTCTTTCCTGCCCTGGGAGTCTCCGGCCTCTCCAGGAGGTGTCCCGAAAAGCCTTGGCCAAGGTCTCCCATGGCTCCGGGACGAGAGCTTCGACTGTCAGGATTCGGTGACGACCAATCTCTGCAGTTCGAACCTGCCACTTAGGCACTCCTGATTTTTGGCTCTAGCGGGGACGCCCCTTTTGCCAATAAATCAGTTTCCTCCTTCTCCCTTATACTATCTTTGCGTCTCCTTCCCTCTCCTCTATACTACGTTTGCGTCCTCTTCCCTCCTCCTTATACTACGTTTGCGACATGGGTAATGTGTCCTCTCTGCCGGTCGACTCTCCCCTACAATGCCTCTTGGATAACCTCAAAACCCTCTCCTTGACACCAGCATCAAACCCCAAAAATTGTTCAATTATAGCACCCAGGCCTGGCCCACTTATCCTTTAGGCAACCAAACAGATGGCCCTCTTTTGGGTCCCTGGATCCCTCCATTCTAAGGGATCTCTACAATTACTGTGAGCATTTGAAAAAATGGGTAGAGATCGCTTATGTCCAGGCTTTCTTCTTGCTCCGTTCCAATCCTGCTCTCTGCACCTCTTGCAAACCTCTACAAATTCTTCTAGCTTGCAAACCAACTCCCCCAATCACCTATCCCCAACTTTCTTCTCCTCCGGACTCATCCACTACTTTTGACCCTGCTCATGAACCTCCACCCTATTGCCCGGCTCCAACAGATCCTCACCCTCAGCCTCTGCCCCAGACTCCGTCCTCACTCCCACCTCAGCAACCTGATTTCTCCCTTCCAATTATTAGATCAAAAACCTACATCACCACCCTTCCTCAGACTGTTGCCCCTTTGCATGAGGTAGCAGATACTGAAGGTATCCCTCCACCCACTCACTCCTCTCTTCTCCTGTCAGTGCCCACACCCGGTCCCATATTCATTCCCGTCTTCCCCTCTGCTCTACCTGTTCTGCTGCTCAAGTTTTCCTTGCTAGGGAAAATCCGAAACCCCTTTCCCATTATTCTTTCACATCTCCTTCCTCATTCTCAGATCCACCAGAGCTGCTCTCAGCCCTGCCTTCCCGTCTCCCCCCTCCCTACCCAGGCCCACAGAAAAGTCTTAACTTTTTCTGACCTTCTCCAGAATCTTCACCATGGCTGATTTTAGGACTTTCAGCAAAAGAATCTCTACAAAAGAGTTCAGTGTAGATAAACTTCCTCTTTTCATGTTGCCCTGTTTTACGTGGCCACTGTCTGGCAAAAATCAGCACTCCAGGTGCTGGACACCCCCTTACTAGTTTTTCACAAAAATATGTAAACAAGGCCTTTGGCCTTGAGCTGGGCTTCACAGTGATGACTACATTTCTAAGATAAGGGTGCTACCAACTGGGCTCCATAGTAACAGCTGGCAGGGGAAGGAAAGATAGGGAAGAAAAAGCTCTCCCCTTCCCAGGTATCCTTGAAGGGTTAACTTGCCCAGAACAGGGAAAAAAAAAAAATCCTGCTTTTTGTGAACTTCTGCAGATTGTGAACTTCTGAGCCCCTCCCCTTACATGCTGGGTGCAAAATTCTGAAACTACCTAAACTTGGGGTTCAGGGAATTAATTGATTACAGCAGAAGCTGTGCCCTCTGAATCTGGCTGCAACCAAATTAAACTGTTTTCCTATGGCCTTGGCTCCTCCCCCTCGCAAGACCCCTATTAGTCCTTTTTATGTTTCTCCTAATAGGACCATGTCTATTAAATTGCCTACAGAAGTTCCTGCAAGATCATATACACAAATTCACCAACCAGTCAGTCAATCAACTACTTCTTTAAGACTACCAGCCCCTGATGCCCAAGACGGAGACCTAGGACTCATGACCAACTACTCTAACTCCAGAGACTGCCCCCACCTAAAACCCTCCCTAACCCCTTTTCCAGATTTTACAACCCCTCTTTCACTTCCTAGGAATGAGAACTACTCTCCAGCAGGTCCACTCTGTTTGTTCTGTCTGCTCTACAGTATCCCCACAAGGAAGCATCAAACCTAAACTTCCCACACATCAGATGAGGAGCCACCAGCCCCAGGCGAAGACTGGTAGATCAACTTCACTCATGTGCCTAGGCACAAAAGGCTTCACTACCTACTTACTTTGGTTGATACTTTTTCAGGTTGTTGGATAGAAGCCTTCCCTACATCCAGGGAAATTGCTGAAACCATTGCCTCCATCCTCATTGAGGGGATCATTCCCAGGTTTGAACTTCCTGCCTCCATCCAGTCAGACAACAGTCCAGCCTTCACTTCTCAGGTTTTTCAACTAGTCTCCAAAGGCCTCAACATCACTTGGAGACTCCACATCCCCCACCAACCCCAATCCTTGGGTAAGGTTGAGAGGCCTAACGGCATTCTCAAGGATCATCTCACTAAACTTGCTATTGAACTCAGGCTCTTCTGGTCAAATCTCCTGCCGTTGGCCCTCACCTGAATTCAGGAAGCCCCAAGGGCCCCCTCAGGGCTTAGCCCCTTTGAGCAACTCTATGGGTGCCCTTTCTTAACCACCCAAAACTTTCCAATCACTCCTCCTCCACTTGTGACCTAACTGCCTAATCTCACACTTCTATGCAAACTCCTAAGGGAATATGCAGACCAGTGCCTTCCTGCGCCATTCATTGCCTCAATCCCAGCACAACCAGGAACTGAATTGGACCCTCTTCAACTGAGTGACTCAGTCTTAATTCAGGAACTGCATTCTCAATCATTGGAACCTTGATGGAGGGACAACATACAGTCATACTTATTACCCCAATGGTGACCAAGCTTTTAGACACTCTCCCTGGTACCATGTCTCCCACCTTAAAAAGGCACACGTTCCAAATATCCAGTCCTGGACTTCCACCACACCCACCAAACTCAAAATTTCTCGCCAATCCTCTTCTTCTTTTACTAATCATTATTCTCTCTCAAGTTTTTATCTCAAATCACAGATGCCGCTTTTACATTCAAGAAACATGGCACCAGGATGACACCACCCACTCTCAGTTTATGAGTCAAGGTGATTGTCTTTCCACTGGCTGCAATCGGGCTGTCACCCTTACCATTACTGAATTCAAGCCACCTCTGATACTTCCTAGAGCCCCTACGACAGGATCAATGGCTGATACCAAAGGTCTCCTCTGCTCAGAAATGGTTTGATGCCTTTAACAACCTATGGCTTCAAGGAACCTTTATGGACTTTGCCCCTTCCGAGATAACTTTCTATAGCCACTGGATGTTATTTTTGGCTGCCCTGATGTCCTCAGACCTGTCCTCTGAATATTCCTCCATTTTCCCTTCTAGGTTCCACGCCACCCACCATTAAGCAGGAAGTAGCTAGAGGACTTTACCCCGTCCCCCATGTCACTTAGAAAAACAAAAAGGAAGGAATGTTAGGTGCAGGACAGGCTGAATAAGCTGTCTGCAGGGCATGCCAAACAAAGTTAGCTGCAGGATGACCTGGCCACTCAAACCCTCTGTCTGGTTCTTTATCACCTGTTTGCTTCAAGCCCAAAGGCCCAAGCCCCCGCTCAAGTCTGAGCGCTTTGCCCCCCTGCTCAAGGCTGAACACTCAACCTGCTGCTCAAGGCCGAGCACTTAACCCCCTTGTGTGCCAACAAGGCAGCTTGCAAACCCAGAGACCCCATTAGATTTGGGCTATAAAAACTCCCTCCTGCCAGGCCCCCCTCTCTCTTGCTCTCTCTTGCCCTCTCTGTCTCTCTTGCGCTCTCTCTCTCTCTCTCTCTCTCTCTCTCTCTCTCTCTCTCCTTCTCTTTCTCTCTTTTCTCCTTTGTTGCACTGCTGCAATAAAGAACTCTTAGTTGCTCCAAGTGTTGTGGTCACTTTCCTTTCATGTGTGTGTGTGTGTGTGTGTATTTCATATCCTCCCAGGGTTACATCCCCTGCAATCCTCCTTCTCAGACCAAGTTCCTGGGATTACAGCTGTGCACCACCCCACCCAGTTAACATCTTATAGATACCCATGAAGAATCATACACTATCTGAGCAGGAAGAAATCTAGAAGACAAAGAGGCAGCAAATTAGGCAGCTTTTCATTACCTTAACAAACTACCCAAGGCAAGCTACTATACATGTGTGTATGTGTGTGTGTATATATATATATATGGCTTATTTTGGCTCATTGTTTTGGAGGTGCAAGGTCCAAACAGCATGGCACAGGCTCTGGTAAGGCTTCCCTCCTTGGGTACCACTTCATGGGTGGGAGCCAGCAAATATGTCTGCACCTTTGATCTCTCCTCCTTACAAAGAAAACAGATTTAATTATGGGGCTCCACCCTAATGATTTAATCTATTTTAACCAACTTTCCAAAGGCCTCACTTTCTTTCTTTTTTTTTTTTTTATAAAGAGAGAGAGAGAGAATTTTTTAATATTTATTTTTTTAGTTTTTCGGGGGACACAACATCTTTGTTTGTATGTGGTGCTGAGGGTCAAACCCGGGCCGCACGCATGCCAGGCGAACACGCTACCGCTTGAGCCACATCCCCAGCCCAGGCCTCACCTTCTTGACATCGGACTTTGGGGCTTAAAATCTTACATGAGTTTGTGCGTGTACGCATGTATGAGAAATCATATTTCAAACATCGCGGGCAGTAAAGCCAATGACTTGCCCGAGCTCGCGGAGCAAACTGGTAGTAGAGGCAAGGCCAGAACTATTTCCCGGCTGGTGTTTGAAAGACTAGGAGTTTGAAAGACTAGAAGTTAGAAAGACTAAGAGCTCTGGCCCAGGGCAGCACGGCTCTTAAAACAAGCACTAGCGAATCGCTTTGGCTTTACGTTCCCACTGCATTATGGGAAATGTAGTTTCCACTCTCCTTCCCGCCTCCTTCGTGCCCTGGGAGTGCTTTCCGAAAGGAGCCGAGTCAGTTCGGAAATAACCGGGCGTTCCGAGGCGGGCTTTTTCCTGTCCGGTTGCATTCTGGGAAAGGTCAGTTTCCGTTAGGTGCAGAGGGCTGAGGCGCGCCACCGGCCACATTCCCACGTGAAGCGCTACGCGAGCCTCGCTTCGTGGGGTAGCTCCCTGCTTGCGGCAGAGCGTCCCGGAAGCAGCGGGGAACCGGAAGTGGCCCGCGGAAGCTGAGGAACTAGTCCCAGAACCCAGTGTGAGGCGACTGGGAGCGCTGCGGCGGCGTCATGTCCCTGATCTGCTCTAGTGAGTATTGGCGGTGGCGGGGTCGTGTGTCGCCGAAGGCCGGAGAGCTGGTGAGAACAGGCCGCTGCGGCGCAGCTGTCGCGGCCGAGGCGGGAATGGGAGCCTGGAGGCCGAGCGGCCGCCCGTCAGCGGGGTGGTCCTCCACTCACTGCGGACTGCATTTGCGCAATGCTGCGCAGTTCGCGTAGCTCCTCGGGTTTGTAGTCGCAGGGACTATTTGAGGCCAACGCCTCGTTTTACAGAGTCTGGACAGAAGGAGCTGTCGCAGGGGAAACAGATCTCGGTGTAGGAAACCCGAGGACTTGTCCAGAATCCGGCTACGGTTGGCTTTGTGATCTGGATCAAGGCCCTGGACCTCAGTTTCCCCATCTGCAAAATTGAAGGCATTGCACTGGGTGTTGTCTGAGGTCACGCTCGGGTAGTCGGGCTTCTGCAGTTTGCAAAGATCGCCGCAGCGAGCTAGAGACAGAGACAGGGCTCAGAGCCAGGTGTCTGGCTCCCAGCCTCACGCAGTATGACTAATAAAAACAGCGCACGTTTCTAAAACGCGTATTGGTTTACAACACACTTCCAAGTCTGTGGTCTCATTTTATCTTCACAAGAATTCCCAAAGGGAGAAATAACGATCCAGGTTTTTACAAAGGAGGACAGGAAGAGGGGATTTTATCTAAGGATGCATAGCTAGTAAGTGGCGGAGCTGAGTGTTGGAGTAGGTTCTTTGACCGTGAATCCAAGCCTTTTTCACGCTGTTTGCTGTTTTTCTCTCTGGTGTTTTTTGTGGCATGCGGCTGTTTTCCCTTGCTAGCTTCCCATCCCTTTCTCTATTCTCAGAATATCTCCATTAATCCAAAGAGGGGAAGGGAAATGATAAAGAAAAGGGAATCTCATGTGTTGAAGAATTTACAGTTTGCAAAGTATTTTCACATGCATTGTTTTATTTCAGTCTTGAGGAATCTCATTTTTATATTCCCCAGCGCACCATCTTTTGTAA